ACACACACACACACACACACACACACACACACACACACACACACACATATTAGTTGCACATATATTATTGTTAGTAAAGCTGTAAAGGAGGAAAGGAACCCTAACCCTAACCTTAACCCTAACCCTCTGGATTTTGCTTCACTTGTCATTGCTGTTTATTACACTCAACTAAGTTTCGAGGCTGTGAGCCAGCACTGTTCAAAGACATTTCCATGGTCATGTAGCCAACATGATGTTACAGAGTGCTGTTTCCTCTGCACTGAAGTGGTACCTATTTATCTACTTGTATTTGCATGTTTTCCAACTCCTAGGTGGGCAAGAGCTAGGTGAAGACGGGTGCTTAGCCCCATCACATGGCACTTGGGTCTCAAACCTGGCTATTGGCTTTCCATCTGACAAGTCCAATGTCTGAATCGCAGAGCCATCATGCCAATGTAGTAAGGTCTTAAAATAAACTTTAAATAGGATACATGGGCAGATCCTAATTGGAAGGAATTGTCTGTCTTTTTATTAATATCTTGCATGAATCAAAATTATTGCAGAGAGCTAAGGAAATGTTTCATTGGCTCCACAAATGTTCAATCAAACAAGGTGAGGTCAGTGCTTGATATTCAAATGAGAGGTATGAGCTGCTAGAAGCTCTTCCAGATATTATTAGATGTCTGAAGACACTTTCTTATTTAATGATGTAGGAAAAATTTCTTCAAAATAATCACTCCACTGCAATCAATGAACCAAAATTCAATGCTGATATGATTTCTTTGTTTTAGCTGCACAAATTGAAACAACAATCTGCTTCTGATTGATTACTTTCAAGTCAAGATTTTCATTTGTCCATGTAATTAAGCAGGGTTGTGGCAATGGAGCTGACAAAGATAAATGCATGGCAAAACTTCTTTGCTGTCCGGACATTGATGGCAATGTTCCTGGGGGTGGATGTCTGTAAAACCTATGATGCAAGGCAGTATATCCTTCTGAGCAAGTTGCGTGGAGTTATAGAAGAACAATATCTATGCCTTTTTAACAACCTTTTTCATGTTAAGGTAAGAATGGAAGATCTTTTTCTTATGAATGCTTTCCATTGAAAAGCAGGTAAAGAGACAGTATCAGAGAAAGGTAATATCAGATAAGATAAAACAGATCGCTTGATAAAGCTGCACAGCTTTAGATTTGCTCAGAATGTCTAATTATGAAACAATTTACAAAATAAACATTCTTTTTATACTATTAATCAAATAATTATGAGATTGGTTTCTTTTTCTGGTTAGTTTCCTACATCAGAAGTGGTTTCTCAAATGGATAATGACAGAAAGAATAAGGAGATTGAAACAATGCTTTTAAAAATTCTGATTAATGTAAGTAAATAGTTTCCTTGTGCATAACATGGTCTATAGAGGATAAAGGCATGATTAGCTTCTCAATACAATCCTTGCTTAATTGTCACAATTGAGACCAGATACTCCATTGCTAAGTGATGCATCCTTAAGAGAGACACCATGTGACTGCCTCCTTAGCAATGGCAGCTCTGGCAGTCTTTATTGCTATTATGAAATGAAACTCATGTATTGTAGTTGTTAGGCAAAGACCTGCCCTGATTCAAACCATTCCTATCTTGGTCACTTGCAGTCATGAGCCTTTTTTTTTCAAGTGAAGGGAGTGCCTCTTCTTCAACTCCTGTAACTCTGTTCCTTTGGCCACTCTGCATAATGGCCCTTTTTGGCAGTGGTGGTTAAACTGGCTGAAGTAGAAACTCTGGACCTTTAGCTCTCTCAGCCTATCATGACTCACAAGTGTCTTCTTCAATGCCTACTGCCACCGAGGAGTGACACCTCAAGTCCCATGCCAGGCAAGCCATCTTGTCACTTCACCATAGTGTAAAGCCCCATTGCCATATTGTAGTATGGTCACTTGGGCCAGTGCCATGATGAAAAATCTCACTGCCATAGTGTGAAGCCCCATTAGTGCACTGTGACATTAAACCACAGTTGCTGCTGCCATGTGCCATGCTGCCCCAGCATTGCAGCATGAGACCCCAGCCCTAATATAGTGAGAAGTGTTGCAGTAGTAGTTGCCACTGCAGTACAACATCCCAGCCACCCTAGCATTCCTATTGCCATAAGAACATACAAATACAATTATCGTGTCAAGAAGAAGGGCAGGTAGAGAGAAGTCAGCTGGGGGCAGCAGTCTGTGTGTGAGGAGCTGTAAATGCAGGCAGGCCCAAATTTTAATTATGTGACCTTGGGGGCTTGGCAACTGTTGTAAATTTGAGGACTAAACATAAGTCCATTATTTCAGTGCCATTGTAACTTTGAAGAATTGCTGAATGAATGTTAAGTTAGGACTAACACTCCTGATAAACATAGTGAGTGTTGTAGTTGAGCAATGAGAGGCTAGACCAGGGCTTGGATGCAACAAGACTTTATTGGAACAATAAAGGACTGAACGTGTTAGCCCTGCCTGGAGCAGGCTTCCAGCGATCAGCGGCTGGCCGGACCCTGCAGCTGGCTTTTATAGCCGGCTGTCGAGGGAGGCCAGCCAATGAGGGGCAGCAAACGCCCCCGCAGCATGAACGGACCTGGGTGGGGACTTTGGCAAGTTCCAGGGACATAACAGTGAGTTTATCCTTTTCACAACAATCTGTACTTATTTTATATACTTTACTGGATGCAAGTGAATCCATTTTGTAGATCAGATCCAGAAAACACTGATAGCCAATTGAGATCTGTAGTAGGGGTCCAGTTCTTTCTATTAACCTCTGGCAATATCACCAGTTTTATTTAAGGCATGGAAACAATCTTGGTCATAAAAACAAAGAATGGCAAATTCTTAGAGTGTAGTTTAGCATTAGTAGAAACATTTATAATAGCAGTAAGTAAAAATTCTAAAAGCTGTGATGACAACAATTCTAATTATAGTACCATCTTAATGTGCCAATATGTTTTTATTTTTTTTAGGCAGCAGAAAAGGAAGTCCTCATTTTTGCAATTGATGAAGCTCAGTTTATTGATAAAGCCTCTTGGGATTTCCTGGACAATTTACTTAAGAATGTTCCAATCTTTGTTGTTATGGCTTTGTCTCCTATCAATCACAAGGGACGAACACTTTGTTCCAGTGCAACCCAAATCCTGAATAGTCCAAGCACAACTTTTATTAAGCTAAGGGAATTAAGTCCTTCAATAATTATTCAGAAAGCTTGTCAAGACCTTGGAGTGGTCAGTATCACCAGGGAGCTTGAAACGTAAGTAGAAGATGCCTGCCCAGGCAATCTTTTAGCTGTTCCTATTAGGATGAAGGCAAGGAGAATCAGCAGGAAATGCAAAGTGTTATCATTTAAATCAACAAATCTGAAACTTTTATTTCAAGCAAACTACCTGACTTCTTCTAAGCTGAAAGGGCTTTCTTATTCAATACCAAATTTCTTTGCTATTCTCTCCTTGGGCCAAAGTCTATAATCTTTCTGACAGCAGATTATCAGTTATATACTCACTTGTGGAAAGTTTACCCTGAGCTTATAGACATAGATATAGATGTATCATGCCACATGGTCTATTTAGAAAGGGAGAATTTTGGTTAAGTGTGTACAGAAGTCAAAATGTGAGTTTCCTCAATTAAGTATTTGTATCAGTTGAGGAATTTTTCCACTGTTAAGATACTTGGCAGATTAGGCACCAACAGCCACAGGCATAGTAGCAGTTCTGATATCAGTGAGATTCTTTTCTTCGGGAATCAGTATCTGTAAGCAGTCTGTCTAACTTTGTTTATAACATTTTATAATATTAAATATTTAACAAGATCATCTATAATATACTTCAGAAAGAGTAGCTCAGGCCATGCTAGTAAAGCACTATTTTGGCATCATACATAATACAAAGACTAATGCAGTTTCTTTCATCTTGGAAGTTAGAGAGATTTGCAAACCATGCCATTGTGGATTGTTTAAGAAATCCTACACTATGGCAATTAATGAGAGCAATTTCTACAGTGCCTGTTTTCATCTCTGGGATCCCTAGTAGTGAACATGTAGTTGCAATATCACAACCAGTTCTAGGTAGCCTCATACACAACTACTACATTTTCAGAAGCCCAGGGATGCCTGGAATTTATTATGTTTACAACATGCCTGCTGCTGAAACGGAAGTTGAAAGCACAATTGTAATGTAGCACTAGGCATTACACTATGTCTTAAACCTGACATTCATCCATGATCATTGTTCTCCCTCTATTTGCCTGCCTACCTGCCCTCACTCTTTCTCTTTCTCTTTCCCTCCTTCGCTTTCCACATTATTTATAGATTTTTAATACAAAGGAGTCATGGAAACCCATTTTACTGTGAAGAACTTCTCCGAAACCTCCACTTAAACAATGTGCTTCAATTCCATGTGCTGGAGGAAGATGAAGAGAAAGAGGATGAATGGGACAGTCTTTTTAGTAAGCTACTGATTATTGGCTATCAATATAGTATAGCTTCATAGCAATTTTCAGTTTATGAATGATGTGGTATATTCAGATTGCATCAGAATATCTGATGGAAATAGTGTCACAGATCTAAAATATTCAGCAAGAGAGCAGCTAGTTATTCAATAAATCATAACTATGGCATCACTCTTCTGTTACACAGATGAATACTTAATAGTCACCAAAATACCAGAAGGCATGTCACTATGTCTTGCTTCCTGATATCCTATTAGAACTTTTATCAGTGAAGCTCATAGTTCAGATCCTTCTTTCCTTCTTTCCCCAGCAATTGTAACATACATGCAGCCATATCATTGGAAAAGTTGTAGTAAAAATGTTCAATCTGTTTGTTTTTTTAATTTTCCAGGGTGGAAAGATTTCCAGATATACAGTGGAACCTCAGGGCGGGAATGCTTCTGTTCGCAACCAAATTAGGTGATGACCAGAATTTTTGCTTCTGTCATGCTTCTGTTCGCGAACAGATCTTTGGGTGGTGACCAAGCAAACCTGAAAATCGCCAGCTGTGGTGATTTCTCCTTTAGCGCCATTTTTTGTTTTTGTTTTGGTCCGCACATGCGCAGACGGTCGTGTTTCCAGTCACGATCAAATCAGGTTGCGACCATAATCCTGGAACCAATTACAGTCACAACCTGAGGTTCCACTGTAGATGCTATAGGCTTAATAAACCTTGAAGCATTCAGTTCTTCTGAAAAAACTTTTTGAATGAGAAGTGAAATGACTTCAAGAAAAAAACAAGGAAGCCAGCTGTCTTTTGAAAAGCACCTTTGGTACAACCCAGTTTGTTTTATTGATATAAACTGGGGAATGTTAACCTTTGCAGTAATCCCATGTGATGTTTGAATATTAGGAAAACACATTCAAATTTGGTTTGGTTTGAGTTTTGGTCAGGGAAATATAGTAATGATTAGTCGATAGTAAAAACCTGCTGGCTTTAATCTTGCATAGATTTCACAGTAGCAAATAGGAATCTAGCTCCTGCTATTATTGGCAGCTATTTAAATGTTAAATGATAATATTAAAATAGTGATTTTAACTATTGCAACTTTTTAAAATAGCCATCTGAATGTTTTCTTGGAAGAAAATAATATTAATACTAATACCAAAATATTTACGATTCTCCACTATAAGCCACTACTGTTCTCAAGACTCATGCATCCAAAATGTTAGATGAAGAGACTGAATTATATATTTGCACAGTCAGGCAAAATGTGAAGCTTACCACCATCAGTCTTCCTCCAACATTAAAAGGTACGTAATGAAGCCAGACTTTCTGAACACAAAACTTCAGATAGCACTATTTTACCAAAGGCCATGGTGAGTTTCCAACATTTGAAATCTTATTTTAATTATTTCATTGTAGGCGCTGCCTAATTCCAAACTGAATCTAAGTAACTCACAATATAATAATAATAATAATAATAATAATAATAATAATAATAATAATAATAATAATAATAAAATAAAAATACAGAATAAAAAGGATGAAATCTGATCATCCTATACAAAAACAGAGACAAAATTTTATCCAACAAGGGGTTTCAACCATCTTTACTCAAGGCCTGGGATAACAGTCAGGAGTTCAAAGCCTAACAGCCAATTGAAGATTTCAGGGCAGATCTCCTTCCAAATGATGCCATGACAGAAAAGGCTTTCTTAGTGTTAATAGATGGCACTGTATGAAGGAACATGGAGTGTGCCAACTCTGTCAGCATACTCATATGTAGTTAGACAAAATAACATTATTTTTATAAGTTCAAGTTCATGCTATTGTGCGCATACGTGAGGGGAAGTCTTCAGTTGGGATGGACAATGATTGGGGCATGTGATGTGATGATGAGTGTGGGGGACTGCATTTGTAGTTTTGATTATTGCAAGGAAGCCCAAACCCAGCATCCAGACCTGACCAAATCTTTTGTAGCTGATGCCAGTGATGTGGCCAGGCTGGTCATTGGGCAGCTGGAAGCCTGGCTCCTGCACCGGTTCCACAATCAGTACAGCTGCTGGAGGCAGAAAAGCTCCACGGAAGCCTCCAGACACCAGCTGGGTTGCCAGACACGCTGTTAGAGGTTCCCCTCCCCACAGAAAAAAAGCGAGGAAATTCTGGCCAAAGAAGGCCTTCCTGAAAAGGCAAATGAAGAGGAGGACCCCATGGTGAGTGCTACCATTCCCCCCTTTACAGTTAAAGTGAAGTTGGTGGTGCCTGAGACTGGGGAAGTTGGGGAGTTAGAAGCAGTAATAGATGCAGGATGTTCCAGATGCCTAATTTGGCTCCCTATTGTTGAACAATTTGGGATTCCACCAGTTGTTCCAGTTACTATCTAAATAAAAGAAAACTTTTGAGTGATGTCGGTCTCGGAGTTATTGGGTGGAGTGGAGGTTTTCTGGAATGCTGACATTATCCTGAATCACTAAATAACTACCAGCACTCCAAAAGGGGGCTGTCCAGAATGCTGAGCCCCAGCACTGACCCAAAGTTGGAGCAGTGCAAAGATTCAGTGAAGATGGAAGAAAACAAGGAATTTACAGAATGTGCAGTGGGAATGGACACCGGAGGATTGATTGAGACTCTGTGTTCCCTTTTGGAAGAATTTGTGCAAGCAATTGAAGCTGCAGAGGAAGACAGAGGCTAGGCTCTCGGCCCAAGGAAACGGATTCCTGGAAAAGCTGCTAGACTGAGCTGAATCCAGAGATGGGACCGGAGGAGAAGCTGCCTGAATACTTTTCCTATTCCAGCCCTTTGATGTCATCCCAAGGACTTTCCTCAGAATTCCATCCGACACATAATGGGGCCTCTGAAAGAATGAATGCTATGGTGGAACAGTAAATTAAATGCTATGTCAATTATCAACAGAAGAATTGGGCAGATCTATTACCATTTGCAGAAGTTGCTTACAATAATGCAGTACAGAGCAGTATGGGCTTAACTCCTTTCCAAACCTCTACCAGGATGGATTTTGTCCCCATGCCAGAGTTGCTTAGGGAACCCCCAATATCCATGTCTTTAATGGATTGGATGAAATCATTAAGGAAAGATTGGGAAAATACAAAAAAAGCTCTAGCAGAAGCCACTGGGGAATATAAAAAACAGCCAGACAAACATAGATCTCTCCAACCACCATTTAAAGTGAGGGACAAAGTATTTTTGTCAACTAGGTCTTCCGGTTTGCAGGGCTTCAGCAGCAGGCAGGAATCCGCAATCGTGCACGGTTTCTGCCTGGGCTTGCCGCTGGAGCACCCCGAGCCAGCTGGCTTCAGGGCTAAGCCACCCCGTAGAGGTGGTGAAGATAGGGGAGATCACCAGCAGGGTCAAGGAGAGCCGCATCTCTCCTCCTCAGCTGGCCAAACTTTCTTTCCTGAAGGCGGTAAGAGCGGCGGTCAGAAATGGCCACCTCAAAGAAGCACTCAACCGGAAAAGAAAGTGCAGGGGGAAGCTAAGAAGTGAAAGTTTTGGCTGACTGGGATAAAAAGCAATGACTAAGGTACCCTGGAATTTAAATTTTTATAAAAGATAACATCGCTCCCAAAGAAGAGTCGGAAGCAGCGAATGAAAGTGAAAAGGGAAAGATTTTTTTTTCTTCACTCTCCTTCTTCACGTTGACAATGAAGAGAGCTGAATAAGAAATCGGAAAAATCCGCTTTGGCACCAACAGGTAATTAAACTGGAAATATAATTAAATGCCAAAGGGACAATAAAGATTTCTGAACACTAAAAAATCCTTTTTTTGCTATAAGTGGGAAGGGAGAGGAAAAGAATAAGGCAGGATTTGGAAGGAGGAGTCTGCCTGGAATTCAAAAGAATTTAAAGTTAAATCTTAATAAGACTTCTAAAAGATACATTTTAACTGGAACTTTGCAACTAAATAGTAACCCCAGGAAGAGAAAGTGAAAAAAGAAGAAAGTGTTAAAAGAAACAGCTTGTGTGTATTTGGATTGCTTGGTGACTTTGGGATTTCTGGAAATTATATTTGAATGACTAAAAACAATTGGGTGGTTGTTTAAAAAAATTCTACAATGACATCACTTTTGGATGAACTGAAAATGAAATTTAAAAAATATAATGAAGAGGCACAAGAAGGGAAGAGCTCCTTTGGCTCCATTTTTCAATTATTAGAAATGGAGATCTGTGTCTACAAGAAACAAGAAAAGACTGTGCAACGAGAAGATTGGGACAAAGAAGAAGCCATCTTTAATGAACAAATAACTATCTGGGAAGAAAGGGGAAAGGGGGGAAAGAGAATGGAGAATTTAAGACTTAAAAAAACAGCCAAAAAAAGGAAAAATAATGTGAAAAATGGATATAATGTTGGAAAGCAACAGAAAAGGGGAATACAGAAGAGGGAACTGGAGGTGGAGAGATGGGGGGGTAAAAAGGGGAGAGAGAAGAAGAAAGGGAAGAAGGAAGAGAAGTTACAAAGGTTTGGAGCAAGATGTAAACAAACAGGACTTATTCAGAGATTATGGGTGAAAATTTAACTGAAAAAGGGATTCTGTAAAGGTACAAAAGATTGTATTGTTATATTTGTAATAGAAATAATGTTAGAAAATTGGAAACAATATATGATTAAAAAGTGGGATAAAATAGTCAGTGTAATTTAGTGAAACTTTTGTGAACAAAATAAACGAAATGAAATAAATGAGAGAATTGAATTAGGAAGGAATGGGAACATTTTAACTACTCAATGTTTTATAAAATATAAGTGAAGTGGTGGGGGAGTAACTATGGAAAGTTTATAAGTGTTCCCATAGAAGTATGATGCTTATTTGAAAAGCAATGTGTAAAATGTTTAAGATTTAAATGAATATTAATATTAATGATAGAATTGAATTGGTATGGATTGTTGTTTTAATTATATTATATATTTATAATTTTTTCTTTAAAAAAAAATACAGTGTGTAGTTTTAGAATGTACCAAGCAGAATCCGAATGGAAGTTATGTATTATATTAAGTGTTATAATTTTAGGGGAAAGATATAAAGTAACTACAGGAGAAATTTTGTTTAATGAGAAAAGATAATAGACAGCTGAAACAGGACAGACAAAGAATATAAGTACAATAATTTGAATTGAGATGAAATAAAGAAAATAAAATTAAGAAAGTTAAAAGAGGGGAGAAGCTATATAGAAAATGTAGAATGGTAATAAGATATGGAATGGAACATATAAATGAGCATGAACTTGAATTTGTGTCTGTACGAAGAGATGTAACCGGGGATCATGCTGCTTTCAAAAAAGATGTTTTATGTTTTTATGTTTTGTTTGTTTATGTTTATTTTTAAAAATCAATAAAATTTTCAAAAAAAAAAAGTATTTTTGTCAACTAAATATCCTAAGTTGAAAATTCCTAGTAGAAAGTTGGGATCAAAATTCCTGGGTCCATTCCCTACATCAAAGATAATCAATCCAGTGACTGTCCAACTTAGTCTCCCTCGGCTGTTGGGGAAAATACACCCAGTATTCCATAGTAGCTTGTTGAAGTCTGCTATTGGTTCCAATCTATGGCCGATACCTGCAGCTCCCCCCAAACTTCTGGTAGTACAAGGTGAAACACATTATGAAATTTAAAAAATCCTTGATTCTAGATTGCACAGAGGACAATTACAATATTTAGTACTATGGAAAGGCTACCCTTTGTCAGAAGCTACGTGGATGAAAAGTTGGGATATACATGCAGATAGATTGGTTAAACAATTTCATGAACAATTCCCTGACAAGCCAAAAGGTCCCGTTGGAGGGCGGAGAAGGGGTTAAGAAATGCATTAACCCCTGTTTGTGTTGTGTTTGTTGTATTTTTCAGGAAGTGATTTTTTTCAAGGGAGGGATGCCTGTCAGCTTTGGAAGCCACATTGAAACCAGATGCTCCCATGCTGCCACATTTTGAGCCTGGGAAAGTGGAAGGGTGGAAGTTCTTGGGGTATATGTAGTTAGATAAAATAACATTCTTTTTGTAGTTCAAGGTCATGCTATTGTGTGCATATGTGAGGGGAGGTCTTCAGTTGGGATGGATGATGATTGGGGCATATGATATGATGATGGGACTGGATTTGTAGTTTTGATTATTGCAAGGAAGCCCGGAATTTTCAAAATCCATTCAGAATCCATTCAAAATCCAAGAAAGAAATGCTTAGACTCCATTGATTAGAGAAAAGTTCTTTTACTGGAAATCAAGTGGTAGCATCAAAGGAATTCTGAATCAGAAAAAGTTTATTATCTCAAAACCTCCAGCTCATTTCCCAGAACTATTTCACCC